TACTTGAAATGTTTCACTGAAAGGTGCATATGCAAGAGTTCACAATTGTAGGTGCTGTAAAATATTGGAGCGTCATTCAATACCTTGGAATAGAAAGCAATTGGCCTTCAATTTCTTGCTTCAAATTTTTTAGTACCAAGCCTATAGACCAGTATGATGCTACAGTACGTAAAGGAATGGGAGTTCAGGTGTGGAAAAACATAAAAAGGCAGCATTAGCTAAATTGTGTGTTGTCTTTCTCAAATTGTTGTATTGCCTACTTAGTCCATTGAATTTTTCTTTTATCTTTCTTTTTTGTGCCCTTTAAAAACTCTTGAAGGTAGTGCCTGTGTTTGGGCAGGGTTTCTGAAATACCTGTAATAAAAATTCATGATACTCAAAAAGGTACACAAGTCTTGTGTGATCACAGGCAGTGGGTATTCTAGGGTAATTTGAACCTTGCTGGGCAGGGGATATGATCCTTTAGACGTAATCAAATAACCCCGAAACTCAGTTTGGTCTACTCCCAGAATGGATTTTGATACATTAATATGAAGACCATATTTGTCGAATCTCTCAAACACTATCTGCAGATACTTTTTGTGTTCTTCCTCAGATGTTGATGTGATTAACACATCATCTAAGTATGGGAGTAGAAAATTCAAACTAAATAAAATTTCCTTGATGAAATGTGGGAAGGTAGCTGGCAGATTTCTGAGTCCAAAACTCACGACATTGAATTCAAATAACCCTAAAGGGATAATTATGCCAGTCTTCGGTTTGTCCTCTTCAGCGATTGGTATTTGATTGTATGCTTTTAATATCAGTGTAATCTGATAGGCATACTATCAGATACCAATTGATGAGATTGTAACTTTACCCTGAAACATAAGATGAAAGTCCTTGATTCTGGGAATCGGGTAATGGTCAGATATGGTTTGGTCATTTAACCATCTATAATCCCTGCAGGCTCTGTTCCATCCTTTTTATGTGCTAAATATAGGGGACTAGCTTATTGAGACTTTGATGGCTGAATAATACCCTTGTCCAACATGAACTGAAATTCTTGCTTGACTAGGGCAAGTTCTTCAAAATTGAGTGGATGTACTTGTGAATGCACCTCTTTGGTTGTTATGTAATGTTTCATGTTTACTTTAGGTACTGAAAACATATGGTGTAGTTAAATCTGGGTATGGTTTAATAGTTAATAAAGCTTTGGTTTATGGTCATTACTCAGAGTGCTGATGATGTCTTCATATGAGATAGACCTAACTGCTGCCTTAATGGATAATTGAGTAATAGTACCATCAATCAGTTTTCTATTTTGAATATTAATATGAAGGTGAAAATGATTGAGCAAATCAGCCGAAATACTGTATTTGATGATGATAAGTGCTCATTGAAATCATTGTCTGAGTCCCAAGTCGAGATTTAGATTTCTTGGTCCATAAGTTGGGATCTCTGTGCCATTGGCAGCATATTTTTATTTTAAATATTAATATGTAGGTGAAAATAATTGAGCAAATCAGCCAAATTATACCTGTGTCTGATAATGATAGGTGGCCGTAGGAATCATCGTCTGAGTCCCGAATCGAGATTTAGATTTCTTGCCCCATAAGTTGGGATCTCTGTGCCATTGGCAGAATATAATGCATAGAGACTTCTGTTTTGAATATTAATACGTAGGTGAAAATGATGAGCAAATTAGCCGAATTATACCTGTATTTGGCAATAATAAATGGCCATTAGAATCATCGTCTGAGTCCCAAGTCGAGATTTAGATATCTTGCCCCATAAGTTGGGATCTCTGTGCCATTGGCAGCATATAATGCGTAGTGACATGTAGTAGTTCCTGCCATAGTTTTGCTGGAATCGGGGACACATCTACTCCGCTGTCGACTAAAAACCATAATCCCAATTTAGTCGAAATTTGTGGCAATTATAATTCTTTGCAGCATAACTGGCCACAGAGTCTACTGCTGATTCATGTTTCCTGACTCTTTCCACTCACAAAGTTGCTTTTTCCAGGATAACACTTGACACCAAATTTGAAATGGTAATAGCGATATTTGCCTGTTTCATCAAATTTCTTTCTTGATTTCGAACGGAATCAATTTTTCTTGATTCGAATTTCTTGATTTTGCAGTTCTTCTGAAGTTGCAGGCAGGTCTGGAGTACCAAGCAGTCATGCAGTTTTATTGTCATCCATAACAAAACATATTGCAGTCCAAAGTCACCAATTGTTAGAAGTCTCCTTTTTATTAATTATCTGGTTGTAATAAAAGTTTTCTGCCAAAAAACTTTCTTAATAAAGTTAGAAAAAAGAAAACATGAAAGTGGTACCTTTATTAAAGGTAGTAATCACCATCCGAATCTATGATTTTTTCTGCCAATCATTTGTTAGTTTTTCAAAGCCTTCAGCCAAGAAACTTTGTGACTGCAAGTCCAAAAACAGATCAACCTCATTTCGGATGCCCTCTATAGAATGGAAAACAGCACCAGCAAGATGTAGCTGCAGGTGTGAAAAAAGGTAGAATTCCAAAGGAGCGGTGTCAGGGCTATATGGTGGGTATGGCAAAAAGCCGCATTCAAGTCCATATAGAGTCCAGCTGGTGAATGCAGACATGTGTGGTCTTGCATTATCTTGATGGAACATGACCTTTTTTGAACCAGAACTCAGTTGAATGTTTTTCCTTTATTGCAGCATCAGCACAAACTAGCATCTCACCATGCACCTTACTGTTAAGAGTTTTACCTTATCCAGATACAATTTGCGGATAATACTATCGCAAGTTCTACAAATACAAAGCATGATCTTTTTGTTAGTCAAATTGCACCTTGCCATTCTGCCAGCAGACTCACCGGCACAGAGCAACTCCCTTTTCGGTGTGTGTTGTTGAAGTAAATCCACTTTTCATCACAGATGACGATCTGGTCCAGAATTTTCGTCTTGTATTGATATTTGAGCAGATTAGTGCAGGCACAAACATGTCTGTCCTTGTTACTTTATCTGCTTACTATATATGTTACTTTATCTGCTTACTATCCTTGTTACTTTATCTTATTGCTATCGTATCTGCTTGAGTCAGTTGATGCAACACCAAGCAATTGAACTTGCACATCAAGTTTATATGATGCATAGTGTAACTAATGGACATGGCGCTAATATCTAACTCCTTAGCAAGCTTTCGAGTGATTGCATACTAATCTTCTTCCACAAGTTCTCACAGGCGGGCTTCATCAACATCAATAGGCTGTCCACAGCGCTCTGCTTCTTGAATGGCTTAGTCCTTGTTTTTGATCTTTTGATAATATACCTTAACAGTGTCATATGAAACAACATTAGTACCTAAAGCTGTACACATGATTTGGTGACATTCTGTAGCTGGTTTCTTGCAGCAGAACAGGAAACAAATGATTATTCTAATCTGGTATTGTGATAGTTCCATATCAGACATCTTATATTTAATGATAATGATATATTTTGCAAATTTCTCCAACACAATGTTCTAAAGCAAGTGGCTTTCTTTGAAATGCCGAAAATCATTTGACAAAATATGATTGAACACACGAACGTGAACTGTTTGTCTGTGCAGACAATATTTGCGGTGGCGCAAAACTTTCATTAAAACCTTATATTTTTTGTGTGTAAAAAAAATACAGGATGCCGATGAAATGCATTTGCAAGGCAAATTTTAATTCTTTTATTCAAACTGAAATTTCCAATATACAGTTACCATTAAATATTTTATAAATAGGCTATATCATTGTTACCACAAGCCATCATCTAATGGTACTAACTTTAACTATTACCATTCCTGGTGAATCTAATGTCTTTATTAAAAAGGAATTTACCAGCTACCGGAGAATTAGAGAAAAAAATCATGGAATAAAATGGTGCTCATGTGATTCAATGAAACTGCCATATGTTTTCATACTGCTTCATTTGTATTTGTCATCCAGAAACCTCAGAACTTTCTAAATGACCCAATATTTTTAGTATATAGTTTTGCTAAATAAAATGTAAAACTGTATCTGAAAGGTTGTAAGAACTCTAAATAAACTGTAATTCCGTAATGGATTTTGCTCTCAGTCTAATCACTTTCTTTCCGTCAATGTTTCCATAAATTTAACAGCTAAAACTCAATATTTTGCTTTAATTAATTATCTAATAATTTAAAACTGTGTTCCTTACATCTGTCATTATTAACAACTTGACTAGTTCTGTTTTATCTTTACGTTTAAGGTTAAGTCATAATTAGCAATCAAGAGTTCTATAAGTAATCAACATGAGTAAATTCTTGATAATAATTTCAAAATGACCCTTCCACTTTGTACCTTGTCTTCTAGTACATGTACTACCTTAATTGTCTAGATACATTTCAAGATTCATGTCTTGATTTAAGAGCATCATGACAAAATAAACGGCTTGGCCACTTGAAAGGTTGATCATTACATGAAAGTTTTCTTTTGACGTTGTTTTTAGCTGTATATGTATGTAACCTTTAAAATTTCATTCTTTCATCATCTTTATTATGTTCATTTTTCATTCTAATATTGTTTTTGGCTGTATATGAAAGTTAACTTTAAAAATTTACTCTTTCATCATCTCTAATACATTCATTATTTCTTAAGCTAATTCTGTTATGACTCTTATTATGAGCTTTTGAGCTTATATTATTTCATGCATCACAGAAGTTTAGTTAGCTAAAGTTTTCTCCTGCTTATTTTTTATTAACTGTTCAAATTGTTTGAATTTATCTATATTGATTTATTCAGTGTTGCTATGTGCAAATATTTAACACATCCCTTTCATTTTATAATGTTCATTGGTTACTTTAAACTTTAGTAGGTTTTTTTTTTTTTTTTTTTTTTTTTTTTTTTTGTACTATTTGTATATTTATATAAATCAGTATTTTAAATATTAAATTCATAAAATGCTCTACTCATGCTGTATTATAATATCTATTATTATTACCTTCTGTTTATTCATTCATAATATATATTTATTTACGAAATAGAATCTTTAAATGAATCTGAAGAAAGTGATAATTCAAAAGAAGAATGTACCAGTGAATCCGAATCTGAAGAGACTGATGACTCAGAGTCGGAAGGAAATGCTGATACAGGTAAAACTTTCAAGTATTCATTGTTCCCTCCCCCCCTCATTTAAGGTGTGCATGTTGAAAACATTTATCAAACATCTCTTGGCTGCACTTCACTTATAATAATCTCACTTGGTTACAGAAAAGACGTGGCATATTCAGCAATTAATCTCTGGGAATGCTCGAGTATTAGCTACTTGCCTATGGACAAAATATCCATCGTTTGAAACATGGTGTTCAACATTATGGAGCTTCAACTGTCATCGTAGATGTTACCATCATCATAAATTTTTACCAACATAATTTATCATAAATATTTACTTTAGCTGAGTGAACATATTAATCACAACAAATGCAAACTGCTTCTTTATTGCTCATGCTGTCTTCAGTTCACTAGATCTTGTATATTGCTTACAAGTGAGCTGCTTTAAAAGGTGTTTAGTTTAAAACTAGCTGCTAGAAGTGATAGATCTTCCTGTTCTCATTAATAAGAGGTGCCATTACTGTATTTTGTCATAGATGATCACAGCAGAGTAATCAAAGCAATTGTGTAAAGTCTTGATGCTACAAAAGTACTTTGCTATTACATTTAGTTAAAAAATCAGTCTACGTAAATGGACTGATTTTTTTTTTTTTTTTTTAACTGAAGGACTATTATCTTCCTTCTGCAGAAGGATAATGATGCTAAATTGTTGATGAAACAGAGTCCAACAGTTGCTTAATCCAGTAGATTTCCCTTTAGTTTAAAGTGCTTTGGTTCACTCTGAGCAGCATTGATGTACACCAGAAACTAAATACTAGTACACTACAAGGTCAGTATTATGTATCAGAGTAAATGAAAGGTTAGGGCTAAAATCTGAAGTATGTTATATATGAAATTGTTAAACACACTTAACAACTGACACCAATAACTTCTGCCTTAGTTCAGGAAAAGAGGTCAGTAATAGAGATATTAGCAAAGAAATAATTGCATTTGGTTTTAATAGCATACTGCTACTCATGGAGGTTTTTAGATAATAACATTCTACACACACACCCTGAAATTTCAAAATTTGAAGTGGACCATTTTGTTTTTTATTCTAATGCAGTACAAATTGAGTACCATGGTTTAAAGATATATAGATGTAAAGATTAACTGGCTTATCAAAGATTTCATTTCTGTTAATTCTTTGAGAGCAGCAGCATTGATTGTATGCCACATATACTTAACAGAACGGGATTAACCGGGAACGGGTTCCTATGTAGTAATGTTCCTATGTAGTTCCTATGTATTAAGCAAAATAAGTGCATGCTTTAGAAGGTATTTCTCACCTTCCTAGCGTGGTGTAGTGGTTCTGCACGCTGGCCGGTATTCCAGAGGTCCGTGGTTCGTTGCTCACTTTTCATCTTGCCTGCTTCCAAAAAATCCTAATGTCTCTACAGTGGTGCCCGAACTAAAAAGGTGTTGGATGAGGATTCTGCACACCCAGGATTTTCTGACTGGGTCCCCTAAAAACCCCAGTCATCCTTTAAAAGGGGGATATATAAGGTATTTCTCCCGCCTTCCTAGCGTGCCTTCGGGGAGTAGTAGTTTTGCACCTTGGCCCGGTATTCCAGAGGTCTGTGGTTCTAAATTTTTGCCACCCCTAAACTTTGGATTCCAGTGCTTTCCCTAAATTTAAAAAAAAAAAAAAAAAAAAAAAATTCAGCCCTTAATTTTTGCTGCTCAGTGCTTTTCTAAATTCCAAACAAATTTTCTTCCCTGAAATCTGCCGCTTTGTACGGCCATACGAGCTCTGACGCTGGTTCCGTGTTTATGTGAATAACATCTCAGTTCAAATAGCACTAAATGAAATCTACATTTCTTAGCACATTTAGCTTAAATTTATAAACATCGTTAAGCGTAATGTTAGAGTAAAAGGTTGTCATACTCTTTGTTATTCATTTAATAATATAAAAATTTTTAGACATTGCTGCATGAGTCATTACTTTAGTTGCCATGTATTGATAAGCATGCAGTGATAAAAGCAAAATATTATAAATAATAATTCTCTAGGTTAGTGTCAGAGATATAAAATACTAGTAGGTGTAAAATCAACAATGTTCCTATGTAGACTATTTCAAGTTGAGGTGTATTCCAAGCAGATATGCAGCTACGGAGCCAAATTATTGATCTCACAAATTTATATTAAAATGATTATTTCTTCAATAACAAGGTATTTTATTTAGTGCCTAAGTAAAATTAAGAATCGAGACTCTCCACATGCTTAATTATGGAAGAAAAAAATCAAATGCCCATCAGGGTTCGTACAGTCCTTAAGAGTCCTTAAAAGTCCTTAGATTTTTTGGAATCGATTTTTGGTCCTTAAAAGTCATTAATTTTGGCCAAAATCAGCAGAAGGTCTTTAATTTTAATCATCTGAAATTTCTGTCTGTTTTTATGACTGCCCTTTTGACGGTGAATTAGCATATAGGAGGAATAATTTTGGCGATTTGCTGACAAATATGGCTATCTTTTAAATGGGTGATTATGTTCATGGGTTATAATTTGTTCCTATTTCTAATATAAATATTGGATACTCTAGTTTCTAAGCAAGAAGTGAAACATAAGCATTTCAAAATTATTACCCTTTTTCTAATAAAGAGCTCTTAAAACAACTTTTCGCTTTTGGGTATGTGAATTCTTTCATAAAACGGCTCTAAATTTGGCGACTTATCAACATTTTGGCGATTTTAAGTCTTTTCTATAGAAATTTTTAATTCCGAGATCTGAGATTTTTTTATACGATTTTATTTAAAACATCGTAGCATTGATAAATTTCATTAAAATATGGTATATATTGAAATTATATTTAAAAAATAACATTAAATAAAACATTTTTATTTTTCACTGTCATATTATAAAGTTTCATTTTGGCACTTATTATACAATATTTTGAATCTGAAATATAAACAAGGTATAATGCTAAAGCAACAATTATGAAAACAGCTCTTAGCAAAAGGAAAATTAGCTATGTAATTAATTAAAAATGTCTTCTTAATTTTTTCTTAGTAAGAGGTTTATCCATGTAATTGTATCAGAAATATGCATCAGTTTTCTCCATAAAATTAATTTTACACTTTTTCTCTTCTTTTTTTTTTTTTCCAAAATATTTCTGGCTTTTTGCTGTTACAGAATTGGTAGAAACAATTTTTCTTTAGGATTTTAGACATTGCAGCTTGGAAAATTTAGAAGGATTTGAAGGCAAGATTTAAGACCCACGATTCTAGAAGATTCGAGAATATGTGACAAGTGAAAAATGTCTCTATGGTATCAACACGTAATGGATTTATTTTACAGAAAGTTTCCAATGAATTTCTTACCTTTTGGAGAACGTCTGGAAGAACAATGACAACATATTTGAATGTTTTACTTCTGATACTAGAATCTTTTTCTTAATATGTATAGCTTCCCTTTATTTTCTTTATTTTTCACTAGACACAAGTATGGAAAATATCAAAAATGCTTCTAATCTTATAACATGGGCAGGCATCATAGAAAGAGATTTTTTTATTAATAAGGAAATTGAAAACTTAAATTTAAAAGATTCATCTAATATGTCTTAATGCATCATACATATAGCTGGCACTAGGCATTTTCCCACCTGATGCAATCTCTGTGGATCCTAAATTCTGCTGCCTATTGTCTTTCTAAATTCTGCTTTCAATACCTGCTATAAATTCTAAAAGTTTTGCCATTTCTAGATTTTGTTGTTCGGTGTGCCATTTCTAGATTTTCTCGTACGGTTGAATGTTCATATTGCTAAAGAAATAAAATTAGCTGCTTTTTATACACATTCTAAATGCATTTAGTGTTTTTTAGAATAAAAGAAATCCTTAATTAAATCCAAAAATGAAAAGGAAACGTGTTGAAGAAAGAAACTGAATACATAAAGAAAATAATTCTTCAAAGATATGTGCAAAGATATATGATATATATATATACAGCCAAAAGTATTTAATTCGGACTCGTCGGGATTTCGGCTATTCCGGATTATCGGTTTTTCTGGATTATAGAATATCAATTTAAATCTGGTAAGCTGGCTTGCAGAAATTATAAATTAAAAATATGAAACCGTAATTTATGAAATAAAGAGCAATTACAGTCTAAAGGGTATCAAAATTTACAAAAAAAAAAAAAAAAAAAAAAAAAAAAAAAAAGGTTTAATATTTATTTGTTTACTTTATTAAACATTTCTTTCAACGGGTGCATGCATAAAGCATACATTACGCATAGTCGAAATTAGAAAATTGCAACCAGAAAACTATTTGATGTGTATTCATGATATTTATAATGACGAGGAATTTGATTTAAATCATATCAAAGACGGAGTACATCGAGATGAAATACTACATTTAGTAAGGAATTATAAGCCAAATAAAATAAAAACATCTGCCCTGAAGATAAGGATAGTGCTGACAGATCAACTTCCAGTTCATTGCGTGCCGCGACGTCCCCCCCCCCCCAGCAGAGCAGCTTGAAATTGATAAACAGATTTCGGAATGGTTAGAGAAACAAAGGATAGGCCTTTATCCATTTTTTTTGCAGCAATTCCATTTTTTGTTTGATAGACATCGAAACATGCTTCCGCTTTGTAGATCCTTTGGCAGCTCCAGAATCGGAAATTCCTTTTAACAGAATCGAAAGTTCAAGTTTACTTTTCTAAAATTTCTCTAACAGTCTGAAAAAAATAATAACCCGGATACAATTAGAAGATTAAGGAACAGCGCAATCTGCAACATTAACTGACATAGATAATTAGATAATTTTAGCTTAGCTTGTACCGTCCGTTATACATTAAACGCGCATGCGTAAAGGCATTATGCGCATGCGCAGAAAGTTTGTAGCTTTGAGGTCCAGATTAAAGACTTTTGACTGTATTGTGATATTATGTAAATTACCCAATTCTTTATGATTTCAGCCTTTACTATAATTTCCCATTTCTGTTTCTTCAAAGGATAGAGTTAATGAGCCAGATTAAATTAAATTGTATAATCTTTGACCACTAGTCCACATTTTTAGCTTGAGTTTGATTGTTCTTGTTTAATTATGTCACCGTGAGCTGTAATTTATTTTGTTAGCAACAGAACAAGCCTTTATGTTCTAAGTTTTTTTTATTTTTTTTTATTTTTAACCTTTGTCTAATATTGTAATTACTTTCAAACATATCGATAACATGCTTCACGTCTGTTAGGGGTTTTCAACTATTTAACTTTTACCAGATCAAGTAAACCCTCATAGGTACATTGTGGAGAGGTTGACAAGTTAGGAGATAAAGCACGCAGAAACTAGCGAGAGTATTGATTTGCATATTGAGACAAATCTCTTAATTGTTAGAAAAGATGCTTAAAGAGAAGGAAATCGATATATAGTAGCCACAATGTTTGGGAAGGCTTCAAATTAAAATGACGGATAAATATTTTGTTGAGTGCTGTTGTTACAAAACATAAATGTTTTGTAGCTTTTAATCTGTAATTATCCTAATATCGTTTAAGAATCAATGTCATAAATTGCATGTATTTTAAACTGTGAAATTTTATTAGATTTTAATTTTAATAGAACTTTTTTAAAAAATATTGTTAAAATAAAATTAAATAGTGCCCATGTAAATCCATAATGACTAAGGTTACCAAACTACCCAATTTAATTATTTATAACTATTATTTATAACTGCTTACCCTTAAAAATTATCTCTATATATTAAAGCGAGTTATTGCCTTTCATTAATACTCACTGTGGTTACAAGATAAAATACAAAAATGTAAAAATTCAAGTAAAACTTATTCTTTGCATCTAGTGAGACTTAAAATAATACAAAACAACTTATCACCTCTGGTGCGTTAATGGCTTATTGGAACCTTAAAGTATATTAACTGGGTTACAACCCCTGGAACTTGACACGAGGCTACGACACTAACTGCATCAAACAGAGCCTGACTAACTTTCAACACTTGCCAACCGGACCTACATCAGGCCTTTCAGGTTTGTTCTAATCAGCAGGTCTTTCTCTAGCAGCGGTTACAATATTCAGTCTTTTTTTTTTTTTTTATGAATCATGCTGATTATGATCTTACTTCTCATTTTAACCTATGCCATTTGACATAAAATCTACCTGCTATTAACTAAATCTCTAGACTGACCAAGTATGTGACAAAATGAGACATAAAAAATCAACATAAAGCTAACTGTTAGTAAATGTCATTATATTCTTTCAAATATGACCAACTAGTGTAAGTGTATTTAATGCTACTTGATAAATTGCATAAAATTAATTTTATTCTCAAACTTATTAATAATTATGTTAGTTTAATTCTGTTAATAATAAGCTCTACTTAGGATCTTAATTTTAGGATTATTCAAAAGTGAATCAGCTAGATAGATTAAGATTATTATTCCATTTCATAGGTAATTTTTTCTATAAAACTTAAAGTACTATTCCGTTCAAATTGTTAAAAAGTGTTGGGCTGGCCATAATATGGCTACCGAAGTAGATTACGTTTTGGAATAAAAAAATAAACAAAGTATAGGAAACAAATTTTATTATATACAGATGAAAGCCACACTCAAATACTACTTTTCTACATAGTCACCATACAAATTAAGGCATTTATCGTAGCGATGTACGAGCTTGGAAATTCCTTCGTCGAAAAATTCGGCCGCCTGCGCCTTCAACCACTTCGTTACCTCTTCTTGCAGCTGTGCGTCGTCATCAAAACGCTGCATAGCCAGCCACTTCTTCATTGCTGGGAATAGGTGGAAGTCGCTCGGTGCCAGGTCGGGACTGTACGGCGGATGAGGAAACAACTCCCACTTAAAAGATTCAAGAACTTTACGAGTGACATTTGCCGTGTGGGGCCGGGCGTTGTCGTGAATCAACAAGATCTTAGAGCTCAACATTCCTCTGCGCTTGTTTTGAATTGCTCTTCTGAGTTTTTGGAGAGTTTGGCAATACCTTTGAGAGTTTATTGTAGTGCCTCTTTCCAGGAAGTCCACCAAAATTACACCTTTTCTGTCCCAAAAAACAGTCGCCATCATCTTCCTTGCCGACATTGTTTGCATGCATTTCTTGGGTTTTTGGGGAGAACTTGTGTGCCCCCACTGCATTGATTGCAATTTCGTTTCACAGTTCACATGTTTCACCCATGTTTCGTCACCAGTAACGATGCGATCGAGTAAAGAGTCACCATCCTTATGGTAAGCGTCCAAAAAGTTCAACGCTGCAGCCATTCGCTGATTTTTGTGGTCCTCTGTCAAGATTTTTGGAATCCATCTTGCACAAAACTTGTGGTAACCAAGCTTTTCGCTGATGATTTCGTGCAACAAACTTCGCGAAATTTGTGGAAAACTCAAAGAAAGTTCCGTTATTGTGAAATTTCGATTTTCACGGACTTTAGCATCGACTTTTTCGAGAAGTTCGGCGGTCACTATGCTGGGTCTCCCACTTCGATCTTCGTCGTGAACATTGGTTCGGCCATTTTGAAATCTTATGACCCACTGACGCACTCCACCTTCAGTGATAATGTTGTCCCCATACACTTCACGAAGCTGCCGATAGATTTCTATCGGTTTACAGTTTTTTGCAGTCAGAAACCTTATTACTGAGCGCACCTCGCAGCTCGCGGGATTTTCAATTAACGCAGACATTTCAAACCGTCACAGTATCTGAACGGAGCACAGCACGAACCTCTCACTAGCACGGCTAGATGCAGACTGAGCTGCGCAACGCTCTGACCCCAAGATGGCCGCGCTAGCCCCGCCCCTAGCGGACACAGACGGAAACGTAATCTACTTCCTGGATGGCCCTCAAATCCGATCTCGGCTCATTTCTACTGTATTCACTCTTGTCAGTTTGGAGAATAGCCTCTGTAGTTTGTTTTCGATGTGATTCAGTTAGTTTACAATATATCACTCCAAATGTCTTTCTTAGCAGCATTTTTCTCTGCAGCTTCCCCATTAAGTTTTGTTTTATTGCAGTAAGAATGCTAAGTCATGTAAGTAAGAATAATCTAGATTAGTGTTGCCTTATTATTATGGCCTCTATTGTTTAAACGTTGCCAAGAGTTGAGTGTGCCAGACCAGCAAATTCCAGGTTGTAAGTAATTGGAATTGCTGACCATTTGGTGATAATTTGCGAAAAAATCTTGAGTAGCATTGTTGCTGTGTGACAGTTTTTTTTTTTTTTTTTTTCAGGAGATGTTTTGGCACTCCTTAAAAAACTGCACTTGTAATAATAAAGAAGTGCCTTTATTTTTTTAAAAGATTAAAAAGTTAATGATGCTTTCCCATCTAAAAATTCACAAACTATTGGTTACTAATTTTTCAAGAGCTAAGATTTAAAAGACAGTAGCCACTCTCAAAAATGACAGTGCACAAAGAAGTACACACACACACACACAAAAAAACAAAAAAAAAAAAAAAAAAAAAAACAATTAGCAAAATAAAAAATTCGAGGGACATCCATAATAAAACAGTTCTCCCATTTTGGTTGTTGTTATCGTCGTCGGTCGTGTGTATTATTGTCCCCTTCTACTGTATATAGTAATCTGCTGTAGCTTCAAAAAACACGAGAAAATTGCACAAACTCAACATTGCATACAACTTGGCACTACGCATACTGTCATTATCCCTGTGTAGCCAGCAATCTGTTTTCACTTTTAAAAAAAATCAAAGAATTGCACAAATTTCAAATATTTAAGAAGTACAGTTTTGTGGAATGTGAATTTTTGCATTAACTGTTGTTGGGCAAAATGCCGTATTTCTAAAAAAATGCAATGCATGGTTTTTTTTTTTTTTTTTTTTTTTTTTTTGCGTGTGTGTGTGTAATCAGCCTGTTAACTCCACAGTCCCATTATGATTCCCTGTAAAAAAAAACTATGCAATAAAAACAAATATTAATCAGAAAAATTTGAAGGCAGTGAATATGCCTCAATTGCCATATAAATACTTTTGATAAAGTCATGCCTTTTTCGGCAAGATAGCACATTGCGCCATGAATACTTTTCAGGAAGGGACATAAGATCAGAAAGAGCCAGTCTACCATCAGCTGATGGCGTAAAATAAAATACTTTTGCCTTATGAAAAATGAGAAAAAGAATCTTATCATTAAGTTAGCTCACCTTAATATTTTAAGCTTTTTTATCTTACTACTTAAAAATGGCTATAAATTTAAAGAAACCATTTTTTTCTACTGTTTAACAATATAAAGTATTTTAAGGTTGTTATTAGTTTTATTTATTTATTAAGTACTGTGTAGCTTACAGTGACCACTATATTTGAAAATTTATGTAATGTCAAAATATTTAATAGTTATGCATTAAATCTTGCACAGGGTAGGTCATAATTAAAGTGACCCTATTCAGATCCCTACAGAACCCGTTCTGCCTATCGGATTTTAAGGAGTGCCAAAACATCTCCTGAAAAAAAAAAAAAAAAAAAAAAAAACTGTCACACAGCAACAATGCTACTCAAGATTTTTTCGCAAATTATCACCAAATCCGATAGGCAGAACGGTTATACGTTATGTGGTATATACGTTATGTGGACCATGGGGAAAAGATTTTGCAATAAAAAATAGTATACAACTACATATTCTAAACATAATTCACCCATTAATTTGACTATTACATGCTGAATGAATATACAGGTTTTTGTTTGTTTGTGTATTAAATTTTGATATTGATGCAGTTCAGCTGCTTTAATGCAGTTTATAATTTTTAATGCTGTAATAACTGGTAAATCTCAGTGAATTCTTTGTGATGGTAATTATTTACAAGTAAAAAATTATGAGTATTAAAAATAAATTTTTTTGTGAAAAATGTCCTTGAGATAGTTTGTTGAGAATATGTAAAATGTATTGAAATAGCATATTTTCTTTGAATGATAATAAGTTACAGAAAAACTAACGCTTAATTTTTAGGTGAATTTGACCACCGTTGGGAGGAACTACGAGAAGATGCACCTGATACTGATGAAATCACGAGGAGGCTGGCAGTGTGCAATATGGATTGGGATCGTATTAGGGCAGAAGACTTGTTTGCTGTGTTTGATTCTTTCAAACCTGCTGATGGCCTTATAAATTCAGTGAAGGTTTGTAAATGTTTAATGCTAATTTTTTTTTTTTCCCCAAAATTCTGGATTTTTATTTACTGCTTATAAACATTTTCTACCTCCTTATACAAGCACAGCCATAAGTGATGCCTAAAAATAAGTGTCTGTTATTGGATTAAGATAGTATACATAAGGAAAAATATAACTTTCTGTGCTTCCTTTCACTCATTTTGTCAAGTAAAGAGCCTTTGTGCCATTCTCTTTTTCTTTGAATGTCTGGTTTATGTGAAATTTTATGATTTGCATTGATAAGGATGTATGCCAAAGAAGAGTCACATTAACAAAGAGGGATAGACTATAAAAGATACCAAATGAAGAAAAAAATGTGACTCTCTCTCATTTTCTGCTATGAGCAAAGATTATGCTCTGTCATGTAGATATTTATTGTTCTGTAATATTAATAAATTATTAATTTTTCATAAGTGTTTATTGAAGGAAGAAGTGACAGAAATTTATGATGGCTATTATCAGTCAAGATGCAGTATTCCTAATATGATCATTTAGATCTGAGAATGAGTATGAACTATGGCAAAGGAAAGAAACTGGCACAACTTGATAGAATTTCAAGTAATGCTGAAGAAAAAAATGTGAAGAATTTGCCACAAAAATGCGATTTTTCTTCTATTGTATCAAACAGCTGATTTAATTGAATATTGAAAGTTTTCAGAAGCGTAATATTTGCAAACTAGCTTATTCATTTATTATGAGATGAAGTGTTACAAAAGTAATTTTTAGTGAAAGGAGTTACGAACGATGATGATGATAATTTTATCCCTGTGCTGAGGACTCTATAGTAAAGAAAGAAAATTATTTCATGACAGAGACTTCGGTGACATTTCCATGCAGAATACAAGATTTTTCAGACTATATATTTCAGTGAAGTATTACATCTTGATTAAAACTGTTTGAGTTGAGCTTAAGAATTTCAATGTTGCAGACTGTCAGTTAACTTAAGAAGAGCTTTATTTCCTACTGGTATGCATGCTACCCGTGTTGAGAATTAAAATGTTTATGCAGTGAATCATGAATTGGTAATAAGAATACCAAGAATGAAGAAAATAGAAATTTTTAGAACTCCGATATGAAAATTAAAGAATTAACAATAAGGTTAGCTGAGCTTGAAATTCAGCAGTTAGAACAGTATAGACTGCAAACTTGATAGGGGGAGTAATGTCGAGCTAATTGAATGTAACAGTGAGACTTTAAAGTTTCATAAAGATTTGATAGATTTAAAAGAGTGTCATGGAGTTTTAAATGATTAGTTCTGTTCAAAAATGCTGGGGAATTGCCACTTAGCTATTAAAATGTGGAAAGTGTTTTCAATTTGCAAAAGATGTCCACAAATTCGAAAGGTGCTCTGATAATACAATAGGTAGGGAAGATGGTGAGGCTATTAGTAACGAAGCTAAGCATGGTGCAGCTGACAAGTTATAAAGCACTTAGAAATGAGATATTGCAAAAAAAAAATAATTTAACCCCTCGCAGAATATTGTAAGCAATTTAATACAACCAAATCATGTCTGAATCAGTCATACTAACTTTGTGAAAAGGCTTCTTTCAATATTGATATTCTATATTTGTAGTAAGAAGGTGCAACTGAAGAAATAAACAATATTGGAATGTTAGACCAGTTAAAGGAAGGGATATCATCAGATATGAAGAAATATATTTGCTTGCATGAAGGAGGAAAAACCCATAATTATGAAAGTGTGTTTTGATTGCAGGTGAAGTCAAATTTTATAAGAATATGAAAAGAGAAAAAATTTGGATGAAAAAATAAATGTGTATAACCCCAAAAAACTAAGACTACGATTAATTAAGATTTTTTTTAAACCTGAGGATGTAAAGTCTCTAGGAGTTATATAATCACAGTCTGCATTTTGAATTGTATTAAAGCATGACTGATGAAATTATTGTTGAATTTAGCAACTGCAGAAGGGGACTGGTAAATTGAGGGCTAAGTTATGCAACTAAGTTAAGGAAAGATGTAGTTTTAGGGTTCACACATGAATCTGGTGTTGGAGGTTACTTGGATAACAAGAAAATTTATCTTTAAGCATTAATATTAATAGGCCACCATATGCATGGAATGTGTACCATTAAAAAGTTTAAATTTCAAGAAAAGCATAGTGCTTTGCTGGAAATATTTTTGTAGAACTGGTGGGTCCAGCTGATATGTTTTAAAAACTAAGGAATAAATTTCTCAGTGGCACTGATAAAAGAATTCCTCAAAGTAATGATTTCTACACTGCAGAGCACTCATCATTATGCCATGGACAGGAACAGAGGAGAAAGTTTTAGTATGCATGTGCTTTTGATGTAGGAGTCAGAGTGTGTTTAGCATAAATAGCAGATAGATATAGAAAAAAATTTAACCCATAGCATTCAAAAGTCAGAAATTAACCTCAGCAGAGTAATTTTGGGCAGTGGCCAGAAGGGAGGCTTAGGCTGTGCTGTAAGCACTAAAAAGACTTGAAGTATGGATATTTGAAGCTTCTCACATTTCTCACAAAAGTGCAAACTCAAATTCCAGCACTGAGCATTAACATTTTGGAGATATATCATCAAAATAATTCGTTGAAAGTGTCTAATGTTGATTCATTGTTGGAATTAGGGCAACGACAGAAATAGGCATGCACTTATGGAGATAGACAGAAAAGGTCCTTTGGGACCCTGCTGGTAAGTAAAGTATTGCCTACAGGCCTGTTCAGGCCAGTAGTCAGTTTAAGCAGGGTTGTTAGTAAAGATCCCTGCACCTTTCTGTTTCTTCTTGAATGTCTAGCTTATATGACACTTATTACCATATTAATTTGTAATCAATTTTTTATAAAATGTCTTCTGAAGGGGAAGACAGAAATCTGCAACAGTTACTGCTAATCAGGATGTCAACATTTCCAAGTTTATAAGAATCTGAAAATAAGCATAAAAGAAGCCAAGAAGAATTAATGTCTTCGATGTTCTTTTATCTCTATCTTATTCTTTCTTTAACCTAAATGGGTAGGGTTTTTGTTTGTTAAAGATAATTACTGTTTTGTTTTCAGTAGAACATTAACATTTCTTATTCTGAATTCTTTTATCATTTCATACTTTTTGTTAATTTAGAAGAGAACACATACATGCAAAAATTAAAAAATTGGTTATGTCTTAAAACTTAAACTCATTCTTAACTAGCTTAAATACTATAACTATTTGACAAAAATAGAAGAAGAATCATTTAAAAAAATTCTAGCATTGAAATATAACCTATTCTGCCATCTGTTGGAAGAAAAAAACTTCAGGCAAAATTTAGGAATAAATTTCTCAGTGGCAAGTTTGCAGTAGGTAGTCATCACTGAAAATAAAGCATTGTCATTTTGCTCACTATACAATTTTTTTCAGCATCATCGTGATTATAAAAAAAAAAAAAAAATCAGCCGCTATTGTTTCCAATCTGTCTCAAGTATTAGATATGTCTGTAGAATGCTGTCTTTCCTCTTCATAAAACTAATTGCAAGATTAAAAAATCTTTTGTCTGTGATGTTGTTCTCTCTGCTTTGGAACCTTTCCACTCTGTTACTGGACTTTTGGTTTGCCAGTGTTGTCAGCATTAGGCATAAATCTGTGCATTACAACATAATTATATTTTTAGGCCATTCCTGCATTTGCCATTAACTTCTAAAAAGTGGAAGTATTAAATCTTGTCATAGGATTTTTAATTAATTTATAAATGTATGTCTAATTCCAATAACTAGCATTAATCCTTTGCATCACATTTAAAAGCCCTTAAAAACTCTTTCATCATCATAAGAAAATCTTCATTATAAGCCAGCTTTTACATGCTGTGATTTCTAAAGTAATGATTAATTCAGATATCCTGTCCAAACATCTGCAGGTTTAACTGCTTGAAATAATTATCTTCATGTGGGGCATTTTCACTGAAGGATAGTGATTTTTTAAGAATTTTCATGTTAATTAATTTGACAAACAAAAACTGTCCACAAACAATGCAGTTTAATGCAATTAGTGAATAATAACATCATAACATACTCAAAAAAGCTTTGTTTTTTGAATATAACCTTAATGAAATAAAGCAAGCATGTCAAACTAAGTAGTCATGTCAATACTGGTGCATATACTCTAAACTTTCTGCAGAATAGTGAAATAAATAGGCAATTTTGGAATCATTCAAGACTACTTAAATCCATATTAAAGCAATGTTTTGTGGTGCTTTCATAAAGTAGATGACTGTTTTGTTGTTTTCGATCCCCATTCTGGCTGTTGGAATGGCTTGTGCAAGTTTTATTAAATTTCTTTGTTGTTTAGCCTCAAAGCTTGAATTCATATATATTTAAGATTTTTAGATGCTGTATCTATAATTTATATCTAATTATGTAACTAAATACAGAATAATTTGTGATTATATGACTAAATAAACAGCTACATGTTCCTTCAAACATAAGGCACAATTTCCAATAACACAATAATGTAAGCTAAGCATTATTATCCTGGGTAGGTAATAAACAAATTTTATTAATACATCGAATATACACACCATTTAATATTTTAACTTTAATAACTCTGGCCTTATTATCTTTACCTGGTAAAACTTCTAGAATTCTAGCTAAAAACCATTTAAATGGGGGGGGGAAGATTATCTTCCTTTAACACAACTAACATACCTGCCTTTAAGTTTTCTTTATTAATAAACCATTTGGTGTGTTGTTGGAGATGATATAAATAATCAGTTTGTCCAAATAATCAGTCTAAATAGTACTGTATTCTAACTTAACAATAGGTAAGTATGATTTTTAATTGTAGTTTTATCTGTGGGGTTTTATTACAACACAAAGCTGAAAAGGAAGGTATTTCCCCCTTTTCTATTTAGTTTCTGTGAGAAATCACAATTAGTGAATCTCCAGTTGTGCATTTTATTTAGCCTTTTTAATTTAAATATATTTTTTGTTCATAATAGCTTGAATGAAATTCTTTTGTTTAACCTATATATAATCTTTAAAATAGATATATCCATCTGAATATGGAATGAAACGTATGGAGGAGGAAAAACTTCACGGACCTCCAGAATTAGTTGAAGAAATCTTAGATCCAGATGAAGAAGAAGTAGAGGATAAAAAGACGTCTAAATATCATAGGGAAAAACTTAGACAGTACCAAATTAATAGACTTAAATACTATTATGCAGTAATTGATTGTGATTCTCCAAACACTGCAAATAATTTGTATGAGCAGTTGAATGGAATGGAATATGAAAGTAGTTCAGTACGTTTTGACATTAGATTTATTCCAGATGATGTGACTTTTGATTACGTAAGTAGTGCTTTTTCCACCATAGTTTAACCATAACTTTTGATGCACAATAAGTTAAGATTTTCTCTTTAAATATTGTGTAGGACAGACTTCGATTTAAAATAGATTCTCTAGAGATACTGAAGGTAGAACCTTACTTTTTAGCCATGCATAAAGTTTCTTTTATACCTTAGCCTTCCCTTTAAGTCCAACTCAGTGTGCATTCTTGCATTTTCTAGAGTTTGATCTTATTACTATCTGCAGAAACATCTGCAATGGTAGCACACTTGATGTGTATTTGAGAGGTCCAGGTTCGAGTCATAGTAAAGGCATTGCACATTTTTCACATTTCCAGCTTCAAAATAACCTAATGTCTATGCAACATAATGTATCTGATTTTCAAATTCATCGAAATTTTGAGATTTATCTGTGATATATTTCTTTCTTGACTCTATTCCCATAAAAAGAAGTTATCACATGTAAAATTTAAAGTGCTTGCTGAACATCAACATCCTGGAAAATGACCACTGAATTATTGCGTAACATTCAAAATATAATGTGGTGAAGCATTATGTTTCATAAATAGCAATTCATGTACCTCATCCATTCAGAAATTAAAGGCCATACAAAATTCTCTGATATTTCCAGGTAACATTTTGTATTCCTAGTATCTGATGACAGGGTCCAGCAATATTAAAAGTTAATCTGCAAGATACAATAACTTTTAGCATGCGCAGCATTATTTCAGTGTTTTTTTTGGGGGGGTCAGTCTGCCTAAAATTACTATTGTGTTGATAACAAGTTTCTTAAATGAAATGCATCGTCATCATTCCAAAGCATTTTTTTAAACAGGTTTGGATCATCTACCTGTCCATGATACCAGTAAGAAATTTTGTCTGAAAATATATTTTAATTGCATATAGAAGACGTAAATGCTTCGTGATGGATGCTTTTGTTTTTTGGATCTGGGAATGCCAGTAAAGTAAAATTCGTAATGGAATTGAATAAACCTTGAAGTTTCAAACCTGTTATGTTCCTCACTTTTTAATTTTCCTTTATTTTGAATTAAAAATAATATTCTTGAAACCTGGTCACATGGAACTTTTTGTTTTTATCATTTATTAAAGTACCACCAGCTGCCAGTATTTTTCTGTGACAATATTTTAATATTTTTGCAATCATAAAAACATCTGTCCCACATTGAGAAATCCCACCATTGCAACAACTTCTACACCTCATATCTTGCAGCAATTTTTATTCTGTTCTCAATGCCCAATCTAACAGCCATCTCTAGATCTTCAAAGGTCTTGAAAAAAAAGTATAAGCAGTAACATGCTTTGCAATATGTACGTAATTAAACAAGGAATCAAAAATGGAGAGTTACTTATCTGCCTGCCTTGTATGTTGGGGGAAAACTGTTTCTGTTTTATAGTAAGCAATGGTCAGCTGAGGGTTGATTTTTCCTCATTTTGATTGTAATAATTTCAGTTAAGTCTGTCATTATGGGTGTACCAGATTATTGACATATTTATGATATTCAGGGATCATTTGTAATGCATTTTAATAATTATTACTAAAAGTAATTCTTATTGCAATCCAGAGTTTTATTTCTTGAGTGATTAGAAATATAACTTTTTATATTGTATGCTATAATTATATAATATGGATGCAGCTCCCTTGTTGTGAGACTTTTCGTCTGAGAATTATACCATAAATGATATAGACTGCCATTGGCTTGTAGCCATGTGAATAAATTACAGAGTATGAAGAGGACCAATGTTTACTTGATTTTGCTGCTTGTGGCACCATCTCTTTGTGAGAGGTTATAATTACACTGCTGCTGCTAATAGTGTCCTTGAGGGTGGTAAATGATCTGGAAGAGTTGAACCAAATTCTACAGTTTACAAAACATCATGTTGCAAAGGCATAGTGCATTTTAGCTTGTGCTGCTAATATTTGGATCTGTTTCCTGATGCAAGCACTAATGAGTCATCAAGTTGCTGCACAAGTATATGCGAACACAGTAAATCTCCATGTTATATATGAGTTTGATCTTATTACTAACTCAGTCATGCTACATAGATTCATTTTCAAGTGCATACATTAAGGTTAGCCTATTACTTTTGTTCATTTGTAATGTATTTGCAAATTTAAATACACTGGTCATCAAAATTAAAAAATAATGACAGAAATAAAATTTAATTGATACTTAATGAAAAATTATTTATAGAAATTTGTACAAAAGCATCAATTAACATAAATTTCAGTGTTTGACAGTTGATTATTTGCAAAATATTGATTAAATCCAAATGTATGGAAATTGGATAATGATGGAAAAATTAAGTTACCTCTTGTGGAAACATTTTTTTCTTTAACCCTCCGAGGACCATGACTGGCTTTATCCGGTCATGAGATTTTTTGTCAACTGGTACATATTAGCTTATAATTTAAGACCTTTTGCTGCCATACTTTCTTTAATAATGTAAATGTCATCTTAATGAAGGAAATTAAAAACTAAAATAAATAATTGTACAAATTTAGCTAATAAATGCTGTTTACATACAGGTGTTCATTAACAAAAAGTGCATTTTGTACACTTTTAATTTTAAAGCTGGCAGTATCGTATGATGCTGCTGGCTCCTTTCCTCTTAGGTCAGCAAGAAGAAAATTTTATTACAGTCAAAGTAGAATTGTTAGACAACCTAATTAAGTGGAGTCAGCTTAGAAGAGGGGAAGATAATGACTATAGCCTCTCTCCAAAAAAAAAAAAAAAAAAAAAAAAAAAAAAAAAGGTTTCAGAATCATTAAATATAAAGCTAATCTTAATTTTTGCTGGAAGAATATAATTTTATCATGACTGTGTTCCTTGCAGTTAGACTATCAATGGTTATTTTTACTTAAAAATATTTGAATAAAGCAATGTTTGGATAAAGACTGGAGGGATCAAAAAAATAGGTCATGTATAGTACATCAAATTTTAATGCATTTTATTCCTCATAACTCTATTTATGTATTTTAAACAAAATACTTTATTCTCACAAATTGCCATGCTTACCAGTTTTCATCTCCACAGATTATTTTTTATTTCCAAAGCTGAATTTGAGTTTTATTTCCAAGCTTGATTTACGACAAGACAGAGAAAAGAAAATATGCTGTGGGACTATATTTATTACATGAAACAAGTGGTAGGGTATATTTTTGAAAGAGGAAAAATTTTGCAAGTTTTTTTTTTTTTTTTTTTTTTTTTTTTTTGCATATTTACTATACAAATGGACAAAGATGATACTGTGGCAGTTGCTGCATCATAAAAACTCTATTTATATGTTTAAGAATTACTTTTCACTACTATATTTTAACAAAATTGTGTATTACTCTTAAGACAACAAAATTATTATTCTAAAACTTCCCCCCCCTTCCCATAACAGTCTACATAAAGTTGTAAAAACAAAAAGATTCCATAGCGTTTTGTAGAGGTTGCAATACCTTGAGAAAAATAAATCTAATTGAAAGTTAGCATATCAATACTTATTTGTTTAAAATTTGCCTTTTATGTATTTTTGTAGCATTAAGCATTCATGTTCATATTTATTTATTTAGTGCATTCTTTGTACAATAAATTTATGTCACATTTATTGTGTATTTAGTTTAGTTTTTTATTTGAGGCTCTTTGTTGACCTTGTATGTGTTTATGTGTCTTTTACAAAGCTTTTAATTCTGAGTTGACTAATCTTTGTAGGAATTATAAAATTAGCTTAATTAGAACTAGAGATGTGAGCAGAAAGTACTCTTTCTGACTAGGGTGACATTTTAAAATGTCCTACATATTTGGAGACATTGGGGAGGTTTCCAAGGAAGGCATTTTTGGAAACTCAGATGAAGATTATCTGAAAAAAATTGCTTTTCACCCGAGGGTGAAAAAGCATTTTTTAAAAAAAGTTATAAAATGAGCAAAGTTATAAAAAGTTAGCAAAGTTATAAAATGAGGCTTCATAGGAGTTTGAATTTAGTTCCAGTTAGAATTATGTGACTGTTTTGCTGCTAAACTTTTTGGTCGGTGATTATTACTGTTGACTTTGCAATGTGAGCAGTTGTTATGCTTACATTGCAAAGAATGTGAGCAGTTGTTTTAATATTTCTTTCATTATTAAGGAAAGTTTTGGTTTATCATTGGATTTTCTTTCATTAATAACACCTAAGTGTTATGAGCTTATGTGATCTTCCTAAATAACTGGCCTAAAGAGCTTATTATTTGCTCAAATGTATTACAAACAAATAAACACAATTAATAAATGTCCTAAAATAGCTTTCCTTCAAAAACATAAAAAAGAGGCTCTTTTGTTTTTTTTTTTCCATTTATTTTTATGTCTTTGTATGTTTTAATTAACAAATATATTATATTTCTTATTAAAACATTTCACTTTTTTAGGAGCCCACAAGTGTAGCTGACAAAATCCCTGACCCAATTGAGTACAAACCTAGACTGTTTGTTACAACAGCACTTCAGCAAGTCAAAGTAAATCTTACTTGGGATGAAACTGATCCTAAAAGGAGGGAAACCCTTCAAAAGGCTTTCACAGAACCTGACAGCATAGAAAGAGATATAAAAGACTATTTAGCATCCTCATCCAGTGAAAGTGAAGGTAAATGTTATTCCAAAACATTCATCAAAATTTAGATAGCATTATCCAATAAATAAACAGTAAAGTTAACAAAATTCTGCTTTTGAAAGTTACTCCTTAGAAAAATGTAAATCTAAATAGGTTTATTTTTGTAAAATTATACAGTAAAGCAAAATACTAATCAAATAGCTTTTATTAAAATTTACAATCTTTGCTTTCATTGATAGTCTTGATTGCAATGAACACAGTCATACGTGTACTATATCTCTGAATGTGTAACTTCTGGTATGTATTATTTTTGTTGTGTACAATTATTACATATTATTTTACTGTGAATAGGGAATTCTTAGTGATTATATTAATTTATTGTGAATAAGGAATTTATAATGTTCTTATTTAAGAATTAATGTTGATGTTGTTTTTATTGTTTAAATCTTTTCGTTCGATCACAGCAAAGCTCTTTTAAGTTTAGCTGAAGAGTTTGATAGAGATAAAAGGGCAGGTTTTTCTTAATTCTGTTCGCATGGAGCGGTCAGTTTGTTGCCAGCTGCGATACCTCTCCCTTCTTTCGGGAGAGTGGTTGACCACGTGTTTCGAATTTGGAGACGAGAAAATATTTCGGCCTTTATTGAAGAGGAGAACTGTGTGATAGGTTTATTATGTACGGGTGTCGCAAGTTTAACTGAATTATGATTGAAAACATTCCTGTGGATCGTCCTCTGTTTTTGAAATAGCGAAAAGATATATCAAGAAGGACTAGCCTGAATTTTTGTATGTTTTCCAACCCCCACTGCTTAAGGGGACAAGGGTCCACAAAACCCTGATGACAGTGGGTAATGGCTATCATTATCACGGGAAGAAATCTTCTTGATGTTTTGAGATAAAGGCCTTACACTGACTCTAAGGAAGCAAATTTATTACCAGTTACAAAGTGAATGTATATATAAAAGGAATTAAGAATTTCTATTTTAGAGCAGTTATTGAATAAAATAAAGAAATTTTTACAAAATATATTTAAATTTATTTATGACTCATAAAATTATTAATGAATTAAGATGAGAAAAATAATGTATATATAACTTACTGGGAACATGAGATTAAATAATTCTCTTCAAAAATTTTTATACAAATTTATATCAAAAATAATAAAAATGTGAGGCTCTCTTGATAAATTTATAAATCTTATACTTTTGACAGTGTGATTTGATTATTTGATTTCATTATTTAAGAATCTAATAATCTTGTTATAAAACTGCGCAGGAATTTTTCAAAGGGGTCTTATCCCCATTAATCTCTGTATGACAAATTATTTTTCTCCTTTTGGTTCAGTCTTTTACTTCCAAGAATCCTCTTACCTCATAAAAGTATTAAAGTTTTAAAAATTTGCCCAAAATCAGAAATTATGTTAATTTCATGCAAATTTTATTTCAAAAGCTATTTTATGCTCTGTGAAATGGCGCAAACTTAAAATTTGTGAGGTTTTTAGTTTATTCTTTAAATGGAAATATGCACAAAAAATTTTTCAACATTAAACTTTAATACCTCTAAATCGAATTTTATAAAACTCAGTTTACCATGCCATATTTTCATTCGTAAATGGTGTGAGTGCAAATTTGAACTCGGTAGCTTATTGAGAAATAGTCTAAAAATTGATGACGAGCTTCTGATTTATAATCAGCAATGAACACCGTGAGTGAAATGAATACAATTTTTTAAACAAACTTGCCGGCTCTTAAATATTATATTTTTATACATTTTGGAAAGATTTCACATCATTTGGGTCATTTTCAGATTGTTAAAATTAGTGCGGTTTTAACGATTATTTAAACCTGCTACAAGAAAAAAAATACATGGAAATTTTCCTTTAAAATATCAGGAATTATTGAAAAAAAATTCTGTAATTTATAAAGAAGAAAACATATTTAACCAGATTTATGTGTGAAAAAATAATGAATTATGATCTCCTCTAGTGGAGATCTTTGTAATTATATTTCTAGTTCTAAAATCAAAGTGAGAAATCTAGTCGCTGAAGCCACAGAACACTATCAATTCTTGTAGGCTTTTTTTTTTTTTTTTTTTTTTTTTTTTCAGTGACGAAATAGATCAACTGCATGGAATTTTTATGATTTTTCTCTATATGTAAACTAAATGCATGTAAGTTTTCCTTAGAAAGTTCACCAGAAGTGGAATATTTCTATCTAAGAAGATAGATATCGTGTGCTTTAGTAAAGTTAGCAAATCGAAATACAGGGCAGAAAGTAATATGTTTAGGGCCCTATTCTAAAAAATTTAAAGTAACGAAATCACCCTACATCGCTCCCTTTTACTTACTTTTATTGTAGAATTATGTATTGCATCCATAAAAATTTCTCTAAATTGTTATTTGGATTTGCAAACCATTTTATGTTAAAATACATTTTTCCAGATGGCCGTCTTTTACTCACTGGAAGTCAATGCTTCTTGAAGATGTTGATTCATTAATGAAAAATTATTTTCTTTCTTTTCCGGTTTCCCCTAATCGTTCGCACAAAAGCCAAACCTTCGGGAGAAAACAGCCTATCTATTGGTGTTAATTCCTCAGTAAAAGAGATACAGCACTGAACGGGGAAAAGTACTTTTTTTTTTTTATTTGTAGAAATCTTGACTTTACTTTTCCCTCAAAATTCAAGCAATACGAAATCTACTATAAAAGATATACTCTCTATAGTAGAAAAACTTTTGTGTAATGAAATTATAAAATGCGGTATATATATATAAAATACCAAATTATAAATACTAACTTTAAATATGACAGTACATTTTTCTGCTTAAGAAAGTAGACAGAAATCTCCATTGTTTCACCTATCAACATACTGTAACGGAAAAGCGATACCAGAAAAAGCAAATTTGAAAAATCTGCGAAAGGTGGAATAGGCGAACCTTGGATTTTTTCAAAGCAAGAAATGCGAAAATTCAGGATTGTTCTCATTATGCTTCTACCAACAAAATCTTCCATATTCTAGCTGGAAGAACATCCATTTATAGCAAGATAGGGAGAATAGCATAATTCCTTATTTTTTACTTCTTATAGGGTGAGAGAGAAGAAGCACGAGACACTGTCGGCCTAATTCATGTGTTCACGAATTATCATCTATCACGTTTTAATTCGGGTGCCACTATAGAGACATCTGAAGAGAAAATATGAAAAATCCTCTATGTTCTCGCAGGGATGCGAACCGCAGACCTTCCGATCTACTATGACTTACACCACAAGAGCCCTAAAAAAAAAAAAAAAAAAAAAAAAAAAACAAGATACTTATAATCTATATAGATATACAAGCTGATGATTCTAAAATTTTATTATCATAAGACTGGAAAAAATTCAGGATTTAATTCATTTTCATACATTTTAAAAGAAATTCAATTTTTCAGAAAGTTAAGATAAAAAATATTATTAGAATGTCAAATTTAAGCATTTCAATTATTTATATAATAAAGGATAAACTTTATATTATAAAGAAGAATTGTTAATAATATCCCTATGAATTTAGAAAGAAATTTATTTCAAGTGATATGTTTAGCTTAAAAGTAACGGGAGCAAAACTGTGCTAAAACAAAAGGAACACACATATCAAAAATTATCTCCTTTAAATTAATGATATGACATTGCATATACAATTTTATCGTTAATAGATCCTAATACAGGCATAGTGTATTTCTATGGAATGATTTGCTATAATTCCTAATTTAAGTTTCACATACTTTCATATTTAGAGCATTAATTACATCACACTGAAGATTACTCAATGTATCATAAAAGATATGCTATCTGATTTATATTTAAAATGACTAAATTTAAATGTTATATGCTCACATTTACACATACTCCAGAAACCTGACACATTTCAAAATTTCTGATAAATCAAAATTACTGGAATATTTCATCAGAAAGCAGTTTTTAGAATTTTGGTAAATTTTGTGTGATTTCGACATAAATTAGACTGATAAACAAAATTGCAAAGCTTATGGGGCCCATTAAAACACAAGTGATTAAGGTCATTGAGCCACAGTAGTTAAACCTGGCTCTGAATACTGATGAACGAGCTAACTGTATGGATCTTTTCGTGGTTTTTCCTCCATGTGTAACATTAATATAAGTAATTTACTCTTATAAAGTACTCCCCCAAAACATTTTTTTTCTTAAAATAGAGAGTCCTCGTATGTTTTGAGCTAAATGAAAGAAACATAAATAAAACTCGGAAGTTTCTTAATAGTTAAGTTATAGTATCAAACATCGGGGAACAAGACATTATAAACATTTCTTGCACTACCTGTAGGAAGAGGCAAAGGAAAAAATACATGGAGAAATTATCGTGTTTTAATGGCATTAGTGCCGGGATTTACGATATAATTTTTTCAGGAATTTTTTTCCTTGAATACATATTGTATACGTATAACAAATCTATCAAACTTAACTTGATAAATTCTTTTGTGAAAAATGTCTCGAAATTAATTCCATTTGGATTTGAAAATTGTTTTATGCTAAAATAAAACTTCCTAGACAGTATTTTCTTTGAGGTTTGTTCTTACCTCCTTGTTGTATATTAACTTATAATAGTAGGGAAATAAACTCGAAATTCATTTCATTCAAATGTTTTGATCATTTAATTCAAATTTATGCAGCAACTGTCACTGAAATATTTACACGATGGTATTAAGATTACTTGCTAATTAAAAGTTGTTAATAATATAACATTTTGTAGCAAAAAAAACTTGCTTTAAACTGAATGATTATAACATTATAGAAATTAAAGTTTTGATTAAAATTTAAAGCTTATTAAAACTGTGATAATTAACTAACTTTTCATAGACAAATACCTCAGCAATTCTTCTGAAAGTTAAAATGCACTTCTAATTTAGAACTTAAAAATTTAAAGCTAGTATTAATAAATTTGACATTTGTGAAACTTTTAACAATTATTCAACCTGAATGACAATATTGTGCATTTCTTTTGAAGCAATTAGACATGAATCACAGACTGAAGGATTTTCAGATGAAGCATTGTTATTAATAACCAATAAAAAATGCACATAATTTGATGTAATTGACATCAAACTTGGTAAAAAGTATTCCATTCTTATAACAAAAATTTTAAGGCTGCAATATTACTATCAGATATTACTAATTGTGAAAGATATGGGTATGTTTATATTACTTGATAAATTAAATAGAACAATAGTAATAAGTATAATAATTTTAGCTGTAACAGAAATAAGTGCCTTTATTTTAGTTCTGACCCAACTTAATAATAATACTTTACACACCCAATCAGTCCACAGGAAACATTTTTAATCATATGTTTCAATTTCCACAAAAATCTCTACAGAAATTCATTTAAAATATTTAATGGAACTATAATCGCATAATAGACTTCTGTAGTCATAAATGTGGTTATAAGAAGCATAAAACGAAAATTAAATATTATGTTAGAGTTCCGTAGAAACATTTATTGCTGTGTATTGTAATATCTAGATTAATGGGAAAGGCCGTCTTGCTGAAATGTCGTAGAAAATCTAATCCTTAATTTCTGCTTCATACAAACACCTCAGTCATAGAATAAGTCAGGGACATGGGGTAACGTTTTTGCAGAACACAAGTTGAAGGCTCTGTGGTTCCTCCCTGCCCCAAATAAACCAAGGGGGAAAAGATCTAAGCTTTGAATACACTTCAGTTTCACAACTCTCGCATCTTGAATGCTTAACGAATGGAAAACAAATGGGGGTAAGAAATGTTTTTGCTGGAGGCAAAACCGTTTTGAGACACCCTGAACTTGGAGACAAGCCCTTTTTGAGGGCGAAATTGAAAACGTTTGTGAGACATTTTGGTCTGTTTTTGCCATGAAAACTGGTGAAAACTGTGAAAACTGGCAAAAGTGAAAACTGGCAATGGGTTAAAAAATAATGAAATTATATTTTCTTGAAATTTGATTATTTTTTAACACAAAATTAAAGGCAATGCAAGAAGTAATGTTATGCAAGAAGCATAATAGTTAGTTGTTGTCTACCCTTGCAGAGTTTATAAAATTGTCACAATTTCTTGAAATTCTGACCAACAATTACAGAAAAGTCATGCATGCAAGCAGAAAAATTATAGCTTTGAGAAATGTTAACTTGAAGATATAATTCTTTAAATCCTATAAAAATTGCCTTATTTTCTTAATATTAATAAGGAAGTATAAAAAATAAATTTATAAATTTAACTGTGCATAGTTATATATTTAAAGTATTTGACCTGTATAATCATCATATTTTTTATTAAAACAATGGAAAAGGAAGAACTGAAATATTCATGTGATTTCAAATTTAATTATAGTGTTAAATAGTTGTTATGTCAGAAGTGCAATAATTGGTCATTTTATCCAGGCTTTGTGTTTACACACTTAGTCTGTTAAAATTGCATACAGACTCAATACATGTATAGTTCAGAATATTAAATGTAAGGATTCAAAATTTTCATTGAATGATAAAAATTCAAGTTCTTTGATTAGAGGTTTTAAAGTAGAACTTAATAAATTGCTGTCTTGTTCTCTAATAAAAATAAAATTTACTTTTATTTTAAGTGGAGATAAATGGAGATGGAGAAGAAGAAGGAAGTGAAAATAATAAAATTTCTACAAAAAAGAGGATTGCAAAATATAAGGCATTATTACAGTCATTAGAAGAAAAAGAGAAACAAGATGAAGACAAATATGAAATGGAAATAACTTGGGAACCTGGTAAAATTCATTTAATCTTTTATTCAAATGTTTTTTCTGGTTTATTTATCAGGTTATATACAAAAAGATTTTTTTAAAAACATACAGATGACAAGTTAATTATGCTTAGTATAAAGTGACCACATTTTGATTTGAGACAAAGTGGGACAAATGGAATGAAATGAGAATTATAATTTAGTTATGAAAGCAGACCAATAATTCAAAAAAAAAATTTTTTTATTATATACATTCATATACTTGTCTATAAATATACAAAATATATTTATTATTAACTATTGGTAACTATAAAATATTTGTAAAAAACAATAATTTGGATATTATGTTTTTAATTAATTTAATTTTTATTTTACAAATTACGATTTATTTCATGGTTAATTTTTTATCCGAGTGAATGCTTTGCAATAGATTCGGATCATTTATTAAAATGTGAAATTTCTCACATGAATTAGTCAAATTATATTTTAGACTTGATACAGATTTTAAAGTTTTAATGTTCAAATGCATTTTTTTTTCAATTGTTCATATTTTATTGTTACTAGAAAAAACATGCTCTGTTGCTGCATTTTTTCCAGGAAGGGAGAGTGTGTGTTCTCTGGAAGGGAGAGCGAGTTTCAAAATATTTTCATAAGGAATATTATTCTGTTTAAAATGAAGGAATAACTGTTCTTTTTTTGTCTGTTTCCACATTTGCAGACAACCAACATTTAATTTTTTCATCAGTAACATATCTTTTTACCAATGACACCTCATCAAAAAGATCATTTTCGCAAATATTACTTTTCGGAAAATGGTTACTAATATATTAAAAAGATTTTTCCACTTATTCCCATAAAATCTCCTTTTTTAATATCACCCGATGAAAGTTTATCCTTGAATTGAACTGTCCGTTCTTCAAAATATTCCAAGCAGTTATTATAAAAATTTCTGACCTCTATCAAAAAATCAGGTCATTTAACCCTCTGAACGGCCAAGGGTTTCGCTAAGAAAGTACAAATTTCCCAAAACTACTATGAGAACAAATTCTTTTTTTTATTTAATGTAAAATTCTACTGGTATTTCATACATGGATTTGTTTTCTTTTGATATACTGCTTAATTTCGTTGACATATTTTAATATACACGTATATATACCTTCTTACAGATATCACAATAAATATTCTAAGCCGTATATATATACGGCCTTGCCACTTAAAGGGTTAATATGGCACCTTCTTCTTCCAACCTAGTGATGTCCTTTCGAATAACTAAAGGAACATAATCGTTATCAATTCTTTCTCGCGATTTTGTTTTTAAATTATTGATTTCATTTGACACTTCCATAACTGAAATTTTCTTCCTTTCAATAATTTTTACAGCATTATGGAATAATGTAGCTATTCTGAAATAATGTGTAGTTGTGGATGAACTGAAGACAAATTTGTGATGTGTCATTTTCAAAAAATAGCTGCAATATTCTTGAATATTTATCTGATAAAAATATGATTTTAATGGTTCATATATTTTTTAAATATTTTCTACAGCTGGTAAAAGAGGCTAGCCATCATGTTTTGCTGTAACCAATAATTATTTTATATTCAATTTCTGCGATTTCACAAAAATCCTTCAAACTTTCGACACGCACAGTATATATATATATAAATACTAATAAATTTTTGCAATAATATTTTCAACATCCACTGGAAATAAGTCAGATGCTGTTTGAACAAACAGTATTGTGTAAAATGTGTGCTGCGAAACCTACTCAAATAATATTTTGGTTCAAACGTACGTTGAGTTTTGTAAAAATATTATTGATGCCTCTTCTAGCTTTTCCACCAAAATTTGTGTTAGTGTCAATAATAAAATTATTGCCTCACAATAGCCAATAATTTTATTGTTTAAATTATTCTTTTTTAAAACAATACTTATCGAATCAAAAATTATTTATGAAGTTTAACCCAGCAGCCACCCAGACAGTATAGTGGTTTGTAAGACCTGACTACGATATCAAAGGGCCTGAGTTTGAATCCCGGAGAAGGCATGGTTGTAAATGTCCTCCCTTCATAGGAGACAATGGTGGCGCACCTATTAGGTGTCTCCGTAATAAAGAGACCACCACATCTGGCCTTAGTATAGATTAATGGACTCTGTTACAAAACTGTAACTGTTCAAAATCTGCCACTGGAAAAAAAAAGTTTCACCCGGCAATGAAACAAAATCTAATATTCTAATTTTAATTCCTGTTTCTGGATCAAAAATTTTAACAATTGTGGAAAATGATTTTAAAGCTTTGTGGTTGGAAGCATCATAATATATAGATATAAATATGCATTTATATAATTCTTTCTGCAATTGTGAAAACAAATATGGTGAAAAAACATTACAAATATAATTGCTTCGGTTTTTGTCCTTGCATGTGCAAATTTTTTGTCATAAATTGTTTTGATCATTTGTGACGTACAATTGATCTTAAAACTTTGATTGTGGTTTATGGTGTAGAAAGCAAATAGCCCTTCAGCTCATGCTAGCTGTTCTTCCGTTAACAATACATATTCCTTGATGAGACATAACGACAATGATCGAACACCACCAAGTAAAACTAACTCGTTACTTCGCCTTATTTAGTTTGCTCTGCATGCATTTTATGTGTTTTTATTATTATTATTATTATTTCTTTATATTCACTATAATAAATAATAGGTAGCAGACGTTTTCTAAAAATTGGGACATTTTTAAAAATCGGCGGGACAGTCCTCCAAAAATCGGGACGTGTAGTCACTTGAGTATAGTTGGCCTAGAATCTCGGAACAAACTTCATTAGATTCATCTGTGAGTTAGGTTTTCCCTACATTGCATATCTGCTGGCTAACTTGAAGATATTGTATTTATTTTATCTTACTTAGTCACTTTTTTTTCAAAACATGTTGGTTGCATTTGTATGTTTTATATTGGCATTCATATATTATGTATTTAATATTGACAAATGCAATATGCAGCTCCTAATTCAATGCATTAAGGAAATTTCATTATGTTATTGTTTCATAAAAAGTAGATTATCTGTATGTATTTGATTAGATTGTTCATATTCTAAAAATTGTGTTTCATTCTTAATCAATCCTGAATTTCAAAGCTCTTTGTGGAAGAGTTCCCCCAATTCATATTATGAGCACTTTTTCATGCAAGTTGAAATACAATTTATATTTTTACCTTCATTAATCAGAATGATAACTCTCAATTTTCAATTTTATATGGAAACACCTGAATGATAAGTTTCCTAAGATTTTCAACTTTATTAATTAATAATAATATTATTATTATTTCTGAATGAACAAAAGGCTTTTGGTTGTCCTTAGGTAATAAGATATAAATAAAATACAGAGTAAAAACGGACATGTGAAGTTCAATAGCAGAATCAGAGTATAGATATTTAAGAACCAAAGTTTAAAATACTAGTAGGAAGAGAATCTCATGGCTTTCCAATAGCATTTGAACAGAGAACTCTATGTTACAGCAGGACAAAGGAGGAAGAGACAACCATCCATGAAACCAGACTTGCGCATGGCACACTCAAAACTATCAGAAATTCCAATTCTGTTCAAATGGATCTCATGTTCGACATGCAGTTGCATTGTTTTGAGGGTAACAAGGTAAATTGAAAAAATCTCTTGCTCCAGACTTTGTTTTTAATGCAGTTTTGGAGATAACAAATAAAAGGATTTTAAATTTGCCGGCTGTTGTTTTACTGTTTTAAATTACGTTTTAGTGGAAATACTTTGTGTTATTTTACTACCTTGTTTTGTCAGCACATCTGCCAGTTTGCCATGGCAAGATGGTATCCATTGCAGAACAATTTTCTTTTGGGAATCAGATAAATATTTGAGTAATAATCAGCATTCATGAACTTTTAGGCATGAAATTGTTTTACTGTTTCACCTTGATTGGCTATGGACTGTAAGTAGCAAGAAAGTCTGAAAAAGGAAGGGAAAAAAAGGATAGAAATTTGAAAAATCTATGTTTTAGAATCAAAATTGATATCTGAATGACCTCAACATCGCCATCAAAAGCTATGCTTTATTAAAAAAAGTTTAAAATTGTTTTGTGAGATTTCTTATTAGTACAGCAGATTTTATAAATTTTAAACTTGTTTTATGTTTTAATGCTATTTTTTCTATTTTAGGTTTGAAAGAAAGAACAGAGGAAATTGTCAAAGAGAAAATTGAAAAAGTTTCTTTGAATCCATTTGAAGAAATGCGTAAAAAGAAAAAAGAACAGCGCAAGCTTAGGAAAAAAGAGAAGAAGATGTCAAATTATGAAGTATGTGAAAAAATAATAAATTTGAATTCTTTTATTTTTGATATTATAATTTATTGAAATTTAAAAAAAATGTGGCAACAGTGATCCATAGTAAATCACCTAAGAGCAGTGCAGAAGTTTGTATCAGTATACAGTTTGATCTATAGAGATAAGCACTTTCTGCAATAATTATAAGAGTGCATAATTTATGCCATAAATTCTGTCCAACAAATGTCATTGGATATTCTTGCTTTGAAATGATGTATTTGCTATTTTGTACTAGTTGTTTTGATTTGTAATATTTCTATAAATTAGAATAATTTACTTTCTGCTTTTGAGATAATGTCTGATGGACTGTAATGCCTTATAAGTAGGTATCTTGTATAAAATAGTTCACTACAAATATATTCAAATCAATCAAAAATATTTGTAGCTTCTAGAAAGTGCTTGCTTCACAAATCAGAAGAATCAGATATTCTTTCCCTTATATGATGTAACTAAAAAAAGATAAAAAAAATTATAACATACCTATAATTTGTAGAATCTGCCTAGTTTTAATTTTGTTTATTGAAATATATACCTATTTCTTGTTTATTATTAATATAAGTGAGTTGCTTACTATTCTTGTCTTTATTTCTGATAACTTCATAAATGGCTGAAGAATTTAATATCTAGAGATGGGTTTAGAGTTTTTTTTTTTTTTTTTTTTTACTACTTTTAATATTTGTGTAATTTTTAAATTTTTAATCTAATTTGAGTACGAATGTATGTAGGGAAAAGATCTGATCATTTGAGACCTAATGAAGGTTTAGTAATGAAAAGTGGTTTTAAGTCTGAAATGTTCAGTGGAATAAAACATGTATTCATCAACTTGATTTAAGACTTCAAAACACTTTTCCCTTGACAAGTTCTGTTTGAAGTGTTAAACAGAGAGGATTAATAAAAAAAATTATTTTTATATTTCTTTTGTTAAGTATCGTGTTCTGTAATTTTTTTAAAGATTTTTCTCTTTTCTCATTTTAATTTTCAATTAACAATTCTGTTTTTGAAAGTTTTATCAGTTTGTGTTTATTCAGTTTGGTAGCTTTTACCTGGAGAGGAAAGGTTAGACCTTTATATCTCAGAAACAGAATTTTATTCATTTTCATTCTGACCTTTGCATTTTGATTTTTATCATTTTACAATCTAGTAGCCAACCCGCAGATTCGTCTCTTTTCTGATTTAATTATTCCATCTTCCATGATGCCTATTCTCAAGGCATATATATAATGTCATTCTATTTCTCCATATTATAGCCTATACCTTTCTTAAAAAAGTGTGTATGAGATTTTATGTAATTGATTTAATTTATCTTACCAAATTCATTGCCTTAAAGTGATAACAAAAATTATTCTATTACATTTTGAAATTACATTATAAAATTCCTCCATATCTGTTATTTTAAGGATATTTTTAGTTTTGTTTTATTTTTCTGGTCTCCATCTAATTTTTTAATGCATCTAAAATTTTTTCATAGATTTCATGAACATATTTTCTTAAACTTGCAAATATTCATGGCTTTGTAAACAAAGAAACATCATGCAAATGTTGCAGTAAACATTAACATTATTTACTGTCATATTTCCTTGGAGTGTTTAATTTGTTTTGCTGTATGTTTTACTGAAATTGTCCATTTCTTTAAAATATTCTTCATGGAAGGAGTAGTTAAAAAAATAAAAATTTGTTACTGCATAAATGATTAAAAATTTAAACTATATGGAAAAGTTAAAATTTTAAATCTAAGTATTAGAAAATTTGCTTGAAAACATTATGCTTAAGAGCGAAAATTGAGAATTTAAAGTATGTAGTGTTTAGTTCAAATATGACTCTTACTACACATTATTCATATATTTAATACTGCAAAATTTCGCAGCAAAAAGCTTTTAAATCAGAAGAAATTTGTGCAGTGTATATAGCTTTTGAAAGAATGGGCAGAATTTACAAGATAATTACGAATGAGGTTATCTTCAAATTCTAAAGCTGCAAGAATAAAAAAGGAATTGTAGGAAGAACTGGTCCTTAACGCAAAGACATCTAAAGAGTCGTTCCCACTGGGGTTTATCTGAGCTAACGGTGACAACTAACGTAGCTGACCCATCTCGAAAACCAGTTTTTTCCCATAGGGTAGCAAGTTGAAAAATCTGAACTGCAGGCATAGTCGACACAGGGAACTGGCTCCGTTAGCTCAGATAAGCCCCAGTGGGAATGGCCCTTTAGAGTGATACATGGTTAAAACTCCAGGGTCATCAAACTTGATAGTTGACCTCACCTCTTCACCCTGGAAAACGGGGGAAAAAACATGACCACTAAATTAGGACATCCTTGTCCTTTCAAACAGAGGCCAATATAATGGCCATTTTGTCCCCAAACAGTTAATGATTTTTACACATTGTGAAAATGGATAACAACAACATGAATATTTAAAAGAAAACCCTCACAATAAAGAAAGAAAAAATCCTTTTAGCTTTAGAATGCATACACATCATCTTTATGTCTTCTGTATCTCTTCGGTTGTCATAGTGGCCTCATCTGCATTTTTCCCTCAAAGTTTTGTTAGACAGCATGCAGTGTCATCTGTTGGTCTTTAAAGAGGGCATCATACATTAATTTTTAGTACAAATAATTTATTTTAAATTGTTAGAATATACTACTGTTTTTCTCCTTCCTTAGTATTTCAAAATCTGGAAAAAGTGTAAGGAAATGTAATTATGTAATAAGATTCTAAAATATGGTCAGTGTATCAGAAACATTGCTTTTGCTCTGAAATTTCTGTGTCATAAATGGTTTTATTCTAAATTCTAAACAACATAATTTTTACTAGAAATATAAGAAAAATGCTTCAGAAAGTTATTTTTACAACCTCTGACTATGTTCTTTAACTCTGAAAATATTACGTTCTACACTTAAAACACCATATTGCCTATAATATCCTCCAATATTGCTAAAATTTTCTTCATTAACCCAATAAAAAATGTAATGTTTTCAAACGACATCACATCTAATTTTTCACAAAGAAGCCTTCCTTAGCTCCTAAGACTACAGGGGAGAAAAAAAGAATGTTGTTTTGTAAACTGATGGCCAAACTACAAAATTTATTCTAGAACAAAGAGGCAGTGCTCTTTCTACAAGAGAAATAAGTGGAAATTTTCAAACTGAAACTAAATCTTCATATTTCTTTGGGTGTAATAGAAATACCAATCATCGATTACAACTACTAGGGATATGAAGAGCAGGAGAAGCCCTTCTTCCTCCTAGCTTAAAACTCTGCTTTACAATCTAAAGGAGTGTGGCACTTTTTTTTATGTTTATTGTGAATGATGTTGACACCCTTTAAAAGAATATACTTTGTGGTATTTTTCTCTTTTTATAATAATACCGTTTGATAGTTAAAATTGTTTCTTAGAAAAATGTCCAATTTTATTGCACATATGTTGCAAAATTTCCAGAATTCCAATTCAGTTTGGATTTGATTGGTATGCATCCAGTTTTTCATCCAATGTTCCTGCATTTCAAATTTTAACTCTGTCATTTCTTCTTTTAATGTGATAGTTAAAAATCTTTTGACTGAATGGGTAAAACTACTAATATTGGAAGTTTGATTTGGTTTTGTAGCCTAGGGAACCATAGGTATTTTCAAATTTTCCTCATGCATTACATAAATATGATTCAATTTCTCTCAGTCGTTTTCAAAGGCATCCTTCTGCTTAGACAAATAACTCTCAAATGCTTCATAGTGTTCAGTTAAACTTTAATATATATATGTATATATATTTCATAGTATTCAGTTAAACTTTAAATAAATAAATATATATATGAAAATGAACCTCCTCAGCAATGACTTATCAGAGAAATCTTTTGGGTTACCTTGGAATTTTCTTGGTATGTCAGTATTAAAACATTATTAATTTCTCTAATTAACAGCGTTTTGTTTCAGATAATTTTTAGTATGTATGATGATACTAATTTAAAAGTATAATAACATAAAAATTCTTGATTTTATTTTTATTAGCTGTTCATTAAATAAAATTAGATCACAGTAAAATTTCTTATGGGTACTTTTCCATTTTGCCAGCGCAAGCAATAAAGTTACCAAAAATGGTACAACCAAAGCCAAACGAAATGTCCTCGCTGGTAAGCTTTTATGTGTCATTTTCAAAACAAGTTGCAGCCATTTCTTATCAAATTGATTGTTTCTTTCAACACTGGCATACAATTACATATAATTCTTACCCAGATAGTTCAATTTTATGCCCTAAAGCCATTCGTGGTAATTAGTCAATTAGATGCAATCACATTGCTCATCCGAAAGCGAAAATCTAGAAAACACGAAGTAAAGCACTGCGGTTTTACATAATTTCTGAGTAAGCTATCCGTATGAATTGAAATAATTCTTGCATTTAAATTTGTATTCCAAATTAAGATTTACTTGAAATTAATGTAAATTATTACTAAGAGAATTAGATTTTTGTAGCATAGTTTACGTGAGATGAGATCGCTTGGGATCACATGATATGAAACAGGGAATCAGGATGTTGTACTATGTTTTAAATGATATTAAAATGTTTATGCCTTCAAAATAAAAATTACGTAGAACTAACATTTGTTAACATTTTTTATGTGTATACTGTGTGTTGTTGCCAATAAAGTCTGCTTGGCGAGATTTGCGCCGGCGAAACAGAAAAGTACCTTCTTATGTAATTAACAATAACTTGAGCAACTATACACTCCATATTCAAAACATACAATCAACTACCACTCAGGAATATACATTTAAGTACCATATATTCCGGCACATAACACACACTTTTAATACAAAAATATGATCAAAATTTATAGGTGCACATTATGTGTTGGATATAAAAATGATAAGTTTAAAAATAAGGAAAAAATAAGCATATAAAAATTCATTTCCGCATGTACCTAAATACTGTTGTTTAAAAGAAATGTCATAGCTTATGAACTTAAAAATTTTCATTATTGGG